CCTTCCCCAAGCCTCTCTAACACACCCTGCCACGAGGCCAGGCTTGAGCCAGCCCTAGGAGTCCGCCCGTCTCACCCCTCACCTCCATTCAGTTCATCCTGTCAGTTCTGCCTCCAGAACCCCACCCGCTGCGCCGCCAGGGCTCCCTGAGCAACAGCCTCCTGAGAACCTGTGCCCACTCTCACTCCCACGGTGTCCTCCACTCAGCCACAAGCCAGGTTCCATGCTTTCCTGCTTCAAACTCCCAGGGGCCCACATTCCAGGCCCAGAAGTCAATGCAGCTAAACAGGCGCAAGGCAGCAACAGCCCCATCCCCTGAAGGTTCCTGAGCCCACCCCTGGGCCCAGTCTGACACGGGCCCGCCCGCCCACCTTGATGTGCTTGTTGCTGCAGTCCCGCAGCAGCGGGTTGGGCAGGCTGGTGCTGTGCCGCCTCCAGCTGTGGTAGATGCTGAGCACGACCTCCGCCAGCCCCGGGGGCCACCTCAGCAGGAACTTGTGGCCCATGGCCTTCAGGTAGCGCATCATCAGCTCCAAGATGCCCCCGTTGGTCAAGTTCTCCAGCAGGAACGTGTGCACATCCTGCCTCTCTGCGGGGGAGGGAGACACCCTGCCTTGAATAAAGGCCTCTGTGCCAGGGTCTCCCGTTTTCTTTGGACGAGAGGAGATGGGCGGGGGCGGGTGGGAGCAGAAGAGAGCCCGTGTGCTCCACACAGGGGTCCCACCCCTGGCTCCAGCCCTCACCGGCTGAGCAGGCCTCTCTGAACCTCCAGGTGTAAGATGGGCACTAAAGGGTTGGCCTCCCAGCGCTGCCGTGCACACTAGCAAGACTGTGCACACACAGAGCCTGGTGCCTGGCACCGCGGTGCTCTCAGGAGTGGGGTCGGGCAGACTGACCGCAGAGCCCGCCCTGGGTGTGACCTGAAGCCCACGGCCCGCAGGAAGCAGAATCAAGTGTGAGCATGGACAGACCTCCCAGCTGGCCATGGAGCTCAGGCCCCAGACAAGTCCAGGCAGCCCCCTGACCACACTTTAAAACACCAGATCCCCTCTCCCAGGAGAAAACTGAACAGGCTCCAGGGTGAAGGAGGAAGAGCCCCACAAGGAGTGACCACGGGGGGGAGCGGGGGGGGGACCTCCTACCAGATTCCATGAATGTGGCCGAGTCGAAGGACAGCCTCTGAGGCCCAGTGCTCGGGCAGCTCTCCAGCTTGGCTTCCGACTGGACTTCGTAGCTGTGGAAGGCGTCATCTTCCTCCTCGGGGTCCAGTTTCCTCAGCCTGCAGGACACACCCAAGTCACAGAAGCCACGCCACACATCCGACCCCTGAATTCTTGCTACTCACTCACTGCCATGGCAGCGTCAGGAAGGCTTCTAGGGGCGGGGGAGAGCGAGCATGCTGACCCTGGAGGGGCAGGCCAAGCAGACGCAGCAGCCCCCCACCCCCCTCCCGGCCCCCGAAAGCGGGTGTGAGTGCACGGGGACCCGAGTGGGTCGCCTCCAGCTCCGGAACCGCTCGTCCCTGAGGGCCCGGAAGTGCCTGTCTTCCAAAATGCTGCCCTCAGGAAGTCCCAAGGCAGGAGAACAAGAAGCACCCGAGGCCCCGATCCAGGGAGAGCTGTGCTGTGGTCACTGGCACATGTTATGGGAAAACAGGAGGTGCCGGGGGGCGGCAGTGGAGGAGAAACGGGGGTGGGGGCAGCGGGCAGGAAGTTGGTGAGTCGGCAAATCAGAGAAGCGTGACTGTACCTGGGCGGCAAGAACTTCAGCAGAAGCTCCTGGAAGTCTACTTTCTCCTCCTTTTTGCACTTGGTGTTCCGGACGCGGGCAGACCGCCGCTTCGCTGTCTCCCCGTTCTCTTCCGGAATTTTCTTCCGCTTCACTCCCTTCTTGGCTTTATCTCCTGCAGACAGGTCGCCTTCACAAAGAGTGCGAATCGCCGTCACACGGGGCAGAGGACTGACTGCACACAGGCGCGGGTCCCTCTCTCAGCCTCTGCCCGCTTGCTTCCTCTCTATCGTCTTCAACACTCAAGCCATGTCCCACTCTTCCTGAGCAGCACCCTGAGCAAGGTTACTTTCAATCCCCACACCCTCTCAAATCCGCAGAGCCCACAGCAGATCTCCAGACTACTCTCCGTGGCTACAGAACAGCAGGGTCTCGAGCCAAGCATTCCCCGCCCCCACCTTCACGCCGGGGGGCTGCAGGGGCCTCTGTGGCCTCGCGGATGAGCCTGGGATGGGGCAGAGCAAGTAGCAGTCACACTGACTCCACCCACTGTCCAGCCTGAGCACCTGATGATGCCATGTGCGTGAATCACGTGAACTATACAGAAAGCAGAGGAGTCATGTGTGACTAAGTTAAAAAGGTAGAAACAACTGCAGGTGTGTTCACTCAGAAGCTTTTTTCCGTGACACAGAAAATCAAGAAAAGGCCTGGGAGTTTTTGTCTGAAATGTTTTACAATTCCAATGGCAATAAAAGTTGGTAAGAGGTGGTATGGAATGATATATCTATCCATCCATCCGTCCATTCACAACGATTCTAGCACGTGTGGTGGGGACTTTGCCGACCCCTTGTGAAGGCGAAGAACGCGGGCTGTTGGGGTGGCAGTGCTGAGCGCTGTGGAGCCTGGCCGGCAACGGAGCAGAACCAGCAGAGGGACCTGCGGCTCACAGCCCAGCAGGAAGAGCAGCCTTTCTGCCAGGACTCGGCCGGGGCTGAGGGGCCCGGGAGCTGCATCCTGAGCCCTGGCCGTCCCTGAGGAGGGGGCCCCCGAGGAGCAGCCCCCAGAGCAGGCGGAGAGACTCCCCTGGGGTCCAGCGCCTCTTGCTTAAACCTCAGACCGGGAGGATGAGCAGGACCTGTCCCTCTGAGAGACCCAAACAGCCCAAGATCATTCCTGCCCAGCAAACCGGTCCCCCCAGAAGCCAGCCCGGGGGGTGCTCACCCAGGGGGACGCCGGTCTCCAGCAGGCCGGGGCTATGCAGCGGGAAGCTGGCTGTGGCCACGGGGGAGTAGGCGAGCACAGGCTCCGCCACGGTCATGGAGGAGCTGGCACTGACGGGGCTGGGCGGGACCGCGCCGACCGGCGTCACCACCACCGCGGACACCGGAGGCCGGCTGGGGTCCTGGTAGTCAGACAGGTCCACCCTCTTGCCGAGGCTGGGCCGCGGCGGCTCGCAGGTGGTGAGGTGGTTGTACATGGCCAGCAGACTCTCTCCCAGGCACTTCCAGCTGCAGAGAGACGGCCAGCGCCGCGGTCACCACCTCCCGAGGGCAGGGAGAGCTGTCATGGTCTGTGGTCGTCGTTACTGACAAAATCTTGAGTCTAACACAGCTGAGGGGGAGCAGCTGGGGCAGGGGCGGGGCCTGGCAACCCCTGCCTCCCCTTCACCCCATCAGAAGCCCTGTAGCATCTCAGCCTCAGGCCCCTTCAGACTCACTGACTCACTGAAAAGCTCCTTCCCCACAAGTCAGATCTTTAAAACATGGGACAGTTCTCTGCTGCCACCCTCTGGGATTTAGACTGGGCCTCCCTGGAGGGGCCCCACTATTTCTTGTGGGTCAGAAAGTAGTCTACACGCCTCCAGCCGTCTGTCAACGTGCCCCAGCTCCACCCACGCCACAGCCTGGCGTCAGGCTCTCACCCTTGTGCAGGGCCCACCAGCCGACCCAGCGCCCCCAGAGGCACGGACCACCTACGTGAGAAAGGGGATAGGCTGCACCAGCTTCAGGTCCGGCTCCTTCTCCCGCACCGTCAGCGCCTGCCTCTTCCTCCGCAGCCCCAGGGCCTCATCTATGATGGCCTGCGTCTCAGCCGCGCTCACCGACACATCATGGATCGACATGTCACTAATCGCACAGCATGTAAGACAGGAGAGATTTCAGTGTTACACACCAGAGCGGAAGCTGACATTTTCCAGGCAGGGATGCAGTAAGTGAACACCCTTTAATCCATATTAATTCTTCCTACAAATAAAATAACCACGTGAGTCTGGCCTCCGAAGGCAGTAATTAGCATTCTGAGTGCCCACACACACTAGACGTGACTAATACCCGTTGTTCCTTCTGCAATTTGAAATTGAGCAAAGGGTTTTCATTTGTATTAGCAGTATCAGAGTGATGTCAGAAAAACCACAGGAAAATCAAATCTTGCTCTTTAATTATTTATGAAAAAATGTTAAAGAATTTAACTAGACCATCCTGCCCATCCCAACAAAAAGTCATCAGCCAGCCAAGCTCGCCAAAGTCTACGGTGTCTCCAAAGGACAGCAAGAGCGGGGCTCTGGGGCCTCAGGAGCCTTCCACAGGCACACCTCCGCCTGCGGTGGCCCAGCAGGACCGGCCCTCCTGCCCAGACTGTCTTGACGCCTCCCAGCAGGGCTCCACCAGAGCCACCTGGGTAAGGACTGACCTGCTTTCTCTCTCTCCGAAGGTCAGGCCCCTGAGGACAGATGTGAACCAGAGACAGTCTTACAAGGGACAGACTGAGCTCAATAACCTCCACCCCCACCACCAGCTGAGTTCCAGGCCCAGGAAACACCAGAGGGTGGAGAAGCTGGTGCAGCGGGAGGCTGCGGGAAGGAGGCCGCAGGAGGGAGGCTGCGGGAGGGAGGCCGCGGGAGGGAGGCAGCCAGAGCCTGGAAAGCTGCTGAGAGGTGGCCTGAGAACTGGAACATGAAGGAGGTGTGACCGCACAACACGTGGAAAGGTGGGAAGATGGAATCCAGGTGAGAGCAAAGTGGGAGCCAGGTGCAGGGACAGGACAGAGCACGAGGGGCCAGGCCTAGAACCTCCCAGGGACCTGAGACAGGTCTCCTCCTGGGCAATGCTATCGAGCGTGGGTTTTGTCCTGGAGACAAGGCAGGGGTGGCATAGAATCGGAGGTGTGTTTCTGACAATGAACTTGGGCAACACTAGGAGCAAAATCCCAGAAAGAGGAAAAGCAAGTGTCGAGGAGGCCTGGTGGTCATCAGGCTGCTGCAAGCAGCCAGAGAAGAGCTGGCAATGCCAAGCGCTGGCAGGGGAAGAGGGACCGGGGAGGAGGCAGCAGCCAGCCGAGGAGGCGGTGCTGAGCCGGGGCGCACAGCTGAGGAGCACACAGGCAGACCACACCAGTCCCCAGGTGCTGATGAGGGAAAGATGTGCAGGCCTGTCCCCCAGGAGGTGCACACGCCTCCTGATGTTCACCATCTGCTTGGGAGGGGGAGAGGGGGCGCCCCCGGGAAGGCACGGCGCAGGACCTACCATTAAAGGACATTCGGAGTGAGTTTTCCGGAGACAAGGCTGCTCCTCAAATATCTTCTTTCTAGAGACCAGCCTCTTGTGTACGACATCCTTCACCAGCTCTTTGCAGATGAGTACAGGCAGTCTGCAGTACAGTGACAGTTACTACGCTGATCTCACCTTAACCGCCTGCCAGTTACCGGAGATACATGTTCCTGCTCTGGATTGAAGAACGCGAAGA